TTTTCTACTAGCACACACTTTACATCTCTTTTAGGACAGTCACTCCCACAGGATTACTATAGTTTATATTCTGGTTTGGAGTTTTTAATATTTTCTTGCTTGGATATTACAAGGAGAGAAATGTATGAGCAGAAAATGTGTTTTTATAAAGTAATTGTTTAAAACTCTTTTTGGTATTTCTGTCTTATTTTGTGTATGATTTGTATTGCAGTCTACACAGGTGAAAATCATGGAAACTCCAAAAAAAATTCCAGAAGTGCACAATTTTGGGCGGAGACGGGAGAAAGTTAATTTATGACGCCTGCACTACAGCACTCGTTTGAGAAGCAAGCAAAGATAGCTAAAAACTGGCGCGTTCTATGTACTCATAACCTGTTAGAAATGAATAGTCTTATTTCGCACTAGTAGTCGTACGATACTCGAATTGATTCAGCTGTTTTCAAGTAATCCATTCGTCTTCATATTCGTGAATCAACAGCCAACGTAGGCCGTTAAATAAAATGAATTATTACTGGATGATTCTCTTGAACACTAACGTACTGGTAGCATAAGGTTTTACTAGCACCAGCACAACTTATAATTAGCATTATAACACTGCTCGGAAAAGCATCAAAAATAGAGCTCGGAAATGTCGGATCAAGCTCCGATCGAACTCTCGTAGCCCGATTTCACACTTTCGAGCAAATAACACGGGATTTCATTGTGTTTTCTCACCGTGTTATTTCAGGTTTTTCCCCGTACCGTACGTATGATCAATCGTGTGATCGTATGAATTCTTTCTTTTTCTTTTTTAGTACTGTTTGTATGATCAATCGTGTGATCATATGTTTCGTAGCTTGTAGTAGAACACTTCGGTGTGACGTAATACATAGTATTTTTGCTGAGATAAATTATACCTGATTCGTCATTCCATTCCTATATGGTACTGCAGATAAATTTAAATGGAAAAACTCAAATGGACAGCTGTTGTAACCTAAAAGCTATGAGCAAAGAACCAGCTTCCGAATCCATTTTTAAAACATTACTTAAGCAACCCCATCTACCCCAACCCCAGCCTACAATATTCTAGGTGCTTCTTTTCTTACTTTTCATAACAGTCCCGAGTCTTTGTATTCGAGAAAGAAGACAGAATAATTTATTTATTGAATGCGGTTCTTCAACAAGAGGTTTATTTGTCGTATTTTTTAGATCTCTTTTGTTTCCAGCCCAGATTCTGATTTTCGATTAACGTTATTGCAGTATTTAATGCTCTCACGGGTTTTGAACAAAACTTTGCAGCATTGACCATTAGATTCTTCACCCTGCACTCAATGCCATCAGCTAGGTCGAATCTCTTGATTAGAGAGACGTTAGTGCAACGATTACGCGGGCGAAAAAGCACCGTGGGAATGACGGAGTACAGCGTGACAACCTAGACCATAGCTAACGATAGGAGACGGTACAGAATAGCACAGAAACAACGAAGAGTGAGTCGCTTTCAGCCCATAGTGGCGACGGCTGTGACGAAGGCAAAGGAAACAACATATCATTATGATCAAAACCGCCAAATCTTCTCCCAATGCCAAAAATGTTGTCGATGAGAAGGAGACAGAAGCAAAAGCAGATACTAAAAATGTTGTCGATGAGGAGACAGAAGCAAAAGCAGATACTTACGAAAAGGAGTATCCGAAGTTGGAAGTGGAAAAACTCGAACAGATAAGGGCAAAAGAGTACTCCGAGAAATCAAACGACGAACGAGAGAGTCTTCTTAACGAACTACACGGAGTTTCGTCCCGTGCTGTTCCTGAAAACCCTGAAATGATACATGCCGCCCTGCTCTTATTTCAGCTGGAGCTCGATAAATGCAGTCTTGAGCACGAGAAACGAGCGTATCTCCGGGCATGTTCTATGAAAAGCACCTATGTGCATTCCGTTGGCTTTCGATTAAAATTCTTGCGTGCGGAATTTTTCCACGTTCAAAATGCCACACTTCGATACCTTCAAAACCTCAACTACATGTTGGATAAATTCGGCGAGATTGCCTTGATGAGGCAGCTCTATATGTCCGATCTAAACAACGAAGACATTAGGTTTCTGAAAAAGGGATACATGCAGATATTGCCGTTTCGGGATCGCGCTGGTCGAAGAATCCTTGCGAGTCTCGGGTCGTTAGGTGGCTTTGAATACTCAATGGAAACGAAGGAACGAGTTGCGATCTATATTTGTCATGCAATTTTGTCCGAAGATGTTGTGTCTCAACGCAAGGGGGCTGTAATGCTGGGGCTGCTAAACGAAGAAGCCATCGAAAGCATTCGAATGATAAAGATGTCAAACACCCATAAATTCATGCAAGCTATGCCTCTACGTTTTTCTGGTCTCCACTCTTGCCTTCCCGATGATTTTCGATTTCGGGTGATTAAGGCCATGGTGTTGCTCATGAACAAAGGGGATAATCGTCACTTGACAAGAATCCATATTGGTAAGTTTCTCTAGTCGGATGCAGTCCAATTATATTATTGAGCATTATTCCAGTTTGTTTCACCTGCGATACTGTACTGCCCTTTGAATCCCACATGGTTATTTCATTGATTCCGACAAAAACTTGTGTTAGGGACACAAATTGAGTGTGACTACAAGCTCCGTAGCTTTGGAATTCCTACCGAGTTTATCCCAAGATCCTACACGGGAAAGATCAAAGACAGCTACCACAAAACTTTCCTGAAGATAAGAATGGCCATAGATGCTCATCGCAGGGCAGAAGCTCGTAACGACTACCGTTTTTATTACGCCGCCACCTCAAGAATAACACCTTTCCCCGCTATTGAATGTCCTGAAAACAATTGCTTTCTTGTACGGAAACATGGGGTAGCATGGAATAATCCCGGAAACATCGAGTTACGTGTCTTCTTAGAGGAAAAGGWACGAGAAAATGGAAGGAAACGACTCAAAGGAGAGTTTATAAGTGGTATTGTAGACGAAATAAGTGCACGGAACATCAACATCTTGGTATTCGATGAACAGCATTGTTGGTACACTAAGGTGACCGAGAAGGATGAGATCCAAAAGCACATTTTGCAGACCTTGCGGGACATCCGGAAACGAAAGAAAAACAAGAAAAATCGTCAGGTTTCTACCAACACCTCCAACACAAATGAATTCCGAGGACTTGATGGCAATATTCCCCAGAATGGATGCTTGTGTGATACCACCATGGACGAAGGATGAAACTAGTAGAATTCATTCACTTTCGAACGAGTAAACGAAAATAATGAAGAAAGAAATAACAATAGATTCGAGTTTCAGCCTTTTTCCCAAGCATTAATGAAAGATTTTATATATCTTATGTATTATGCTGTACAATTCGAATGATGGAGTGGAGAACTTAGGAAGTATTTTTTCAGTTCTTTAGTCATGACTTTCGTTATTTCGAAGGTGCCATAGATGAGCTGCCCTGGAGTCCCTGCGCTTCCTTGTCTCTCAGCATATGTTCGTAGCCCTTGTTCTTCAGATAAGGTCTCAAAACCTTTGCATTGATCGGATTCCACCAACAATGTGTGCACTGAATAATCACATCAAGATTGTTTGGATTGATGTGCAAGTCGTGTTTTTTTCGATTCTCCCTGATCGTAAATCGAATCTCATCTTTCATATCGGTTGTAATGGTATGCTCGGATGCGTACATATGTGTGATCTTCGTATGAATCAAGCCCTTCGTAAATTTTTCCCATGTATCATCAGACACATTGTAGTTCTCTCCAATGTTCAAACACCATATTTTGCAGGATGACTGCTGAAGAATTCGAAGCAAATGAAGAACTTGCTGGTCTCTCATTCCTTCGTTGAAGTTCTGTTTCATAAAAGGTGTGAGTTCGAGAATGAGTGACGGTACTATTCCAAGTAAGCGATCGTATCCATCGTCACTGATCCTTACTTAAGTTTACAGTGTGTTCGTTCCTTACCTGGATATAAAGCGCCTCGCAATTGGTATTTTCCTCCATAGCACCTAAAATAGCGTCCAAGACAGCACCCGGTACGTTTGGATCATTGATGTATTTCTTCATTTTTAATACACGAACGTCGGTATCGTTATTCTTGAGTTTGTCTACCAAGAAACGAACTCCTTTCGATCTGAGCAGATTTTTGTTTGGCTGGCGCCTTGATCTGCGAACCCAATTGCTTTGGTCCCCTCTATTAGAAGAATTGTCTTCCTGCAGAATTCTTCTAATTTCTTTTGCTGTCAGGGGCTTAGCCTCTTCTCTCTTTCTACGATCTTCCTCTATCTCCTGCCGCACTTTTTCGTGATCAAATTCCGGACGCTCGCTTATTTTTTCGGACAGGGCCTTCAGCTTTTCGTCCTTTCGTTTCTTGCGCTCCAGTTTCTTCAGTGCAGCTTCTATTTTCTTGCCATCCTCCTCGCTCAAATCTTTCTTGTTCACCGCGCTGGACTTAATTGATTCACTTAACTTGATTTTCATTTCAGCCGAGAGACGGAGTTTTATCTTCGGTGACTTCGGCTTGGAAGGAACGTTCTTATCGTTGTTGTTGCTGCTGTTGATGTTGTTTGGAACCAGTGAATCGCTCTTGGATTCGGAAGTGACAGGGGAAGACACTGCTGGCTGGACGCCAAGCACCTTCGAGGCCCAATGGAGAACCTCATCGTCGTCGGTATCGGATTCGGAACTATCGCTCTCCTCCGGCTCTGACTCGGCATCGGAATCCCACACCTCGTCTCCCTCCTCCGGGCCATCCTCGAATTCTGCTGGGTCGTATATCGTTTCCTTTTTGTGAGATTTCGGCCTAGCCTTTTTTGTCACGATGGCGGACGGAACACTGTTGCTTCCTTTGCCTTCCACGGGATTATTGTGTTTTGATGCCGACTTCGAAAGCTTCGGACTGCTGTTGTTTCGATTCGAAACGATCGAGCTACTGCCCACCGAGGAATCCGTCACAAGGCGATTGAAGGGCGACGAGGGTTTCTGATGATGATGATTCGTCGCTGCTGCTGCTTTTTTGCTTGATTTCAGGGGAATCTTCTCCGATTTCGACATGTGGGGCTGTGGGGCCGGTGGAAGGGCCTTTTTCGCCGGTTTCGGTTTCGCCTTGGGTTTCAACCATCGCATGGGAATCCCGAGTTTGTTGGTCACTTTTGCCTGTACTGGCACTTGCTTCTGCTGCTGGATCCTCTTCGCCGATAATAAAGGGAGAGAGGGTTTCGTCAACGCTGTGTTTGTGCTACTTGGAATCGGCAAGGATGATGTAGGTTTTCGGTCTTCTAGTTGCTTACCCTCGGTCTCTAGTCCTTGTAGTTTTACGCCGCCTCCTTTGCTACAAGGAAGCGTAATTGCTCCGCTGGCGTTGGCACTGGCCGAATTCGCGGTCTTCGTGGACGGCAAAGAGGAAGATGCCTTTGCCAAAGATGTGCTTGAKGATTTTTGTTTTGGTGCAGACGACGACGGAATCCTCGTGGATTTAGTTTGATATTCGACGGTCGCTCGTTGCCCTTCTTGCTTGGATTGGTTTGCTTTGAAGGATCCTGTTGGTGATTTGGTATCCATCCCGCGCTGTCGTTTCATGCTTGGTGGACCCTCGGTGGATGCCTTGACCGTCTCGTCGAGATCCCGGTTGGCACCAACGGTTTCGGAACAGAGCCGCTTGCGGTTGGCACTGGCGTTGGCACCGACCTCGGTGCCCCGTTCCAGATCCCCCTCCCGCAGCGACCGCGACAACGGTGTGTTTCTCGCGGAAGTTACGCTGGCGGCAGCTTTCTCGGAGTCGCCACCGGGCACATAACCCCTCGATGCACGGTGGGTGGTTCCACCAGGGTACCGCTCGCGATCTATGCGTGCTGCATCCGGGAGATCGAACGACCCATCTCGGTTACCGCGTGTGGGCCCGAGGCGATCCCGCTCGGGGCCACTCGCCTTCGGAGCGCTTCGGTGGTGGTACTCGCTGCCATTGGCATCGGAATCGAACTCTCCGTTGTGGCGTTGGTGCATCTGAGACGGAAACCGACCGTCCCCACGCTCCGACGACGACCAACGCAGATATGGTTCTTGTTGATGTGGCGATGGCTGCTTGTGGTTGCGGTATTTGTGTTGTTGTCTATGCTGATGACCCGCATTGTCTCTGTCGCTGTATTCGATATTTGAAGGATAGCCGTGGTGGTCGTTGTCGATGCCGTTGTTGTTTCTGCGATAGTCGTTGCCGTTGTTGTTCCTCCTGTCGCCTCCTCCCTCGGAGCGTCTGGCACGATAGATATCCATGTCATCGCCATAGCCGCTTCTTTCCACAGCGGAAACCTGTGGGTGTGAATATGGTGGGTGGTGCGAGCGATATAGCTCTCGGCCATACTCGTTGTGGCGGTGCTCTTGGGGTTCTTCAACCGCAGGGGGGTAGCCTCTATCCCTGCCCCAGCGTGGCACTCCCGTGCTGTCGCGACGATCTCTGGAACCCAAGGAGTCGTATTCCATGCCCTGACAGCGAGAGCCATCACCATGCGTAGATCTCTGTCGACCGTCGTCGAAGTAGCTGCCGGTATTGCTCGCGGGCCTCCTCCAGTGATTGTCGAAACGAGGGTTTTGTTTCTTATTCTTGTCGAAGTCGCCTTCGAAATTCCTGTGCCCCCCACAGTTGATTTTCCCCTTATATTCTTGGTGGTGGCGTTCATTCCCATCGTTCCTGTTGCTCTCGCCATCGTTACTCGTCCTGTCAAAGTTCGAAGAAGCCCTATCGTAATGATATCCCTGTCCCCTGTTGTTGCCGATGTCGATGCTGTTGTTCTTGTTCTTGTCGTTGATCCTAGCCGTTCGAAGATACTCGTTCGTGCGGCGGACATTGTTGCCTTCGTACTGGCTGGTAGCAGCATTCGTGTTTCGGCTGTTGTAGCGGAGTTGCTGCTGCTCTTCGTTCTCGCTGATGGAATATCCTCGGTGGTGGTGTCGGTCAAACCGTTCTCGTTCGTTCCGGCCATTGTAACGGTAGGCCGACCGATCCCTCTCACGCTGAGAGAAGTGGAGAGGGGGGGCAGACTGTGTGAGCGAAAGCGCATGCTGCAGACCACGGTCCTGTGGGGTGAAACTGGACTGTGCGCGTGCGTGTGCTGCTTGATTCCCCTTCGCAGTCTTGGTTCCGGCCCTTCCACTCTTGTGGTTGCGAACGGCGTACCCCCGGGATTGTGGCGTTTGGCTTCGGTTAGGGCGTTCCGACAACGTTGATGACAAACTCGAAAGCCTATGCCATTGTGTGGGCGATGAGGTTGTGCCTGTGGACATTGTGCCTGTTCGACGGATGGAAATGCGTTGGAATGGATTTGGTCCGGTTCGGTTTCGGGCGGCTAGGGATTCTTCCGTTGGATTGGATCCGGTTCTATTTCCTGCTCCTCGTGCCACAAGGACAGCTCGATGATCTTTGGATCGTGCACTGAATCGGTGTTCGAATGCTCTACTGGGTGTAAAGTGCTCTGCCGGTTCTGGATGATTCGGTGAGTGCATTTACTACGAGGATCAAAAGTGACTACCGGTACGAGCAGTCGTAATTAAATCGTAACAACGGCGTTCTGCTAGGTACTTTAGTGCCGTACGTACAGAAAAGGGGCAGTGCTCCAACTTCTAATGATAATCTAAAAGGTATTTTCCACATACGATACAAGTACGTACATGAAAAATAACCGCTTTGTAGTCGTGCAATCGGATCGCCTATGAAAACGTATCACTCCTGCACGGTACGTGCGTACATACAGTTCCAATACAGTACAGTAAGAGTGAACCGCAAAGTACAGAATGAATTTCTTACTTCTCACACTCGTACTGTACGGTACGTAACGTTATTTGCTCGTCTACTGTACCTTACGTATTTGTACTGGTACGTCCACTCTCCTATTTATGACACTGTATGTTCGTCTAGTAGTATGACCGAAAAAATCTCGAGCTTTCCTGCAAGAATGCAGCTCAATGGTCCAGGGTGGTGGTGGTGTTGACATACAACCCTGTTGGTCGCGCGTGTGTGGTGAGGAGAAGATTTTCGATAGAACTACGCATCATTTGTTTTTAAAACGCATAAGGTTGGTATAGAGCCCTAGGACTCTGTTTTTGCGCATCGCCACGGAGACATGAGCCATGGCAGCCAATCAAATCATCGAAAGACGCAATGCCACAGATGCGAGGCACAAGAGAACACGCTTCGAATGCGGTCGTCCAACAAGTTAGTAGATACGATGTTTTGGTTCTATCGCGTAAGAGCTTTATTCTCGTAAGAATTCTATCGTACCTGTACACAGCTCTACGTGACGAACAACACGACATTTAACTCTCTAGTAGAAGCCAACCTGTTATGACACTACTTCAGTCCATTTTTGCAGTGAAGTATTTCAATGCAGGAGATGGAATACGAGAAAGCCGATACGGATGATGCTGATACAGATGATACTGACACGGACGATGCTGATACATGTCACAAGAGTGCTGATGTGGAGAAGTCACTGATACAGAGGACATGAAGTTGCTGAGAAGGAGGAGGAGTGGCTGCTGATATGAGGATGAAGGAGGAGGAGGACGATGCTTCTTGTTGTTGCCCTACTGGTATGGAAGATGCTTCTTGCTCTCTCATATGGAGGATGCTTCTCCGACACTGGAGGCAGACAAGGATTTGTGGTGGAGGGGAAGATTATATTATTTTGGCTATTTCATGTCAAGTTTTCACTGCTGCTTAGATCTACTAGTAGTACTGTTGGCTGCTTCTACTACTAGTAGTAGCACTACTACTAGCACTACTGGTACTACTACTAGTAGTAGTAGTAGTAACAAAGGACTCGGTCAATTGATATGCAACTTCTGGATCCCCTTCTTCTTATGGTAATGAATACACCACCATGCATGTACTTTGGTGGGTGAGTAATGAAAATTAGGGGTGTTTGCCAAGCATGTAACAGGTTGGATTCAATGAAGTTGATTTAATCATGTTTTTTTGCAAATTCATTGCACACCCAAATGGAAACAACTGTAGTACAGTTCCGAAGACAGAGTGAATGTTAGGATAGTAGGTTTGGTTTTGAAATGAAGCGGAGCAACCGGGAGTTAATTAGCATTAGTACATATCAGAATACAGCACGACGAGAACTGCTCATTTGGATTCAGGTCACACCACATGGCAGGACTCAATCAGTGCTTGGGCAGGATCTGCTCCCAACAATCGCGTTGTTTGAAACGATTCACGTGGACGATTCCAGTTGATTCCCGAACGAAATCGTTTAGCTTTGTGAACAGGGCTTTCCGTTGGGAGGATGCGCATTCTATTGCGACGTCGGGCAGTGACAATTTCGAATTGTCTCCTCTCTAGGGGGGGAGGCAGGTCTGGAAATAAGCACGGGATCAGACCGTCGTCGCCAAAAATCTCGTGAACGTAAATGGAGATTTCATGCTTGTATTCTTGCCTCAGATGTTTGTGCCATCGCTCGTATTCTTCGACAGCCAGATACGTTTTGGACTGGTTTAAGAGCTGGATGATTGCGAGAGCCTTGTATTTCGCTTCTTCGGTCGACACCATTGTTGAGGCTTGTCTCTTTTGATTCGGAGCTTCGATTGAAATCGTAGCGGGGGCTGAAAGAAAGTTCTTGCCGCTATTGATGGACTAGAATACTACCAAGTTTTTGTAATTTTATTAAATGATTGTGAGAGCGCTTCCAAATTTTGCATTTTGTACCGTAATGTAGGATGGGATGTTTTCCGAAAAAGGAGGAAAACCCATCGAGGGGAATAACAAGCCCTGACGCAGATGGCATGGAAACCAACAGGCAGATAATGTCAAAGAACATATCACTTAGCAGCTACACATTCCCAATGGAATTTCCAATACAGTAAGTTGGATTTCTATTTTGTTCTTGGAAACAGAAAACTCTTGAACATGGATTCGGATTTAACGTAGCGCACAGTAAGGTTAGAGGAAAAAATATAATTAACATTCTCTGTTGCCAGGCTCAACCTGTACCGTACGGTACGGTACTGGTCTGGTCTGGTCTTGAACAAAACACTTATTGAACTTTGCTTGATGTTGATGTTACAATCGAATCAGAACATTAAATTAATCAATCTTGTAGAATTATTAAGTAGGGACTTGGTGAGGCCTTTTAAAATTTTATTACAACTCAATATCAGGGTGATTGTGACGATGAAGTTAATTTGATCTTGCTGTTTCTGTCGCGTCCACCAGCGTTTCATATGATGTAATACAGTAATATAAGGAAGTACTTCTTACTTCTACTGCAGTACAGTACTGTAATCCGAATTTCTACAAACGTCACGCAAGAGAAGAATCACGACTAGTATTCCATAAATAAAAATAAGAATAGTGATATGTTCTGTGTTTTGTGTCCTTTTGAAGGTTAGACTGTTCTCGATCGAATAAAATTTTGATCATTGCCCGTGTGATTGGGAGTCTCCTTTCTTGTGTGAGGCTAAATCCCGAGTAGCTAGTGAATAACCTCACTCCTCTATTGTAAACCACGTAATAACACGTAGCAGGGAGCCTATTAACATTTGTCTGTGGTAAGTGTGGTCACCGTGAGCTACAATTTAGTACAGTATTATTTTGAATAAACGCCTCTGCTATTCTTAAATCCACATTCCATTTCTAATGAGTTCATCACGGTGGACGCCAAAGCAGTAAAGTGTGCCAACCACCAGTGGTGCTTGGTGGACTGGCGTCGGCCTCGACCCACGATGTTGAGTTTAAGACTGAGGTTTTGAAATTATTTTTCGTTTGATCATATCAGTGTTGTTTCTTACTGGGTATGGTTCGTGTTAATAGCATCATGAACGCGACTTTAAATAAAACGTTCGTAATCCATATTTCATGATCGGGTGGTAGCAAGAAAACAACAAACCACATCATGGCAACATCTCAAAGTAATTTCTGCATTTAATTCACTACAAGGACTTATCGAGTTAACATAGCAATACCCAATCCATACTTATGTGAGTCATAGTCGAACATCCACTCTTCCCACAGTTGTTTGTCTTTCTATCCATTCATCTGTTCTTTTGCACATTCGTCCATCCTTCCATCGATCAATCCACAACATAGATTCAACCAAGCTATATTCCTACGAAAAGAGCTAGGATCGCGACGGGCAAGGAAAGAGCAACAGCAAGCCGAGTAGAAATAATTTTGGCACTTGCACCTGAATCCAGAGAATTTTTTTCGTCTAAGAGATCCAAAATCTGATCTCGGTCCGACATGGGATCCTTCATGCCGGGCTCGCTGTCTTGATCATCTATCCGGACAACATCTTCATCCAGGGGCCAATCCACTTCCTCTTCAGTAGGAAAACTCGTTTGTTTGTCGGTGGACGACGCCGTTGGCTTAGCGGTGGGAGACTGAGTATCCGCCATGGTCGGCTCCGGTGTCGGAGGCGTCGTAGGGCACCTCGCAACCAATAGGTTGCCGCTCACACGGGTTTGTGCCTCAGCAATGCACGTGTCGTCCCCTTGAACACAAAAGGAAGCCACCAACCCTGTGTTCTCCTTCGGAAGCAACCGGATTTCGCGGTCGTCGGAGACGACGCCATCAGACCACGAAGTAAAGGTGCGCTGGATGTTGGTGCCGTTAAGCTCCTGATTAATAGGGGTCCGCAGGCGCAGATTGTGATTCACCCACGAGGTAATTCTCAGGGGAGTCACCACGGGGTACTCGTCGACATACACCTCGAGACCCTGGGGTTCGCTGTCTATGCAGAGTTCCACAATTCTGGGGTAAATGTTCCTGCTCGTGGTAGATACGAGACCATTGGCATCTGTTGCGTACATGATAACTTCGAGGTAACTGTTGGTGGCGGCAAGGTAATCTTCCGGTTCTGGGGCGGGAAAGAGGTCAATGTCGTTTCCAGCCTTTTCGTCCAGGAAGGGGTGCCAGTGATCCGCGTGGTGCTTTCGGACCTCCCAAGAAATCTGGCTGTCCTCAAGCAAATTTCCATCCGCGTCAGTGGCAGTTCCACTGAGCAAGAGGATCTCTCCTACAAAAAAGTCAGCACCCTCGAGGGGCGACGTTATGTGGAGCGCCGGAGGCGTTCCGACAACAATGTCCACCGAGGTCGTTTGGGTGTGTTCTGCTGAGTCCGTTACACCAAGCCGGACCGTGTACTGTCCTGGTTCTGTGTAGGCATGAATGGGATTAGGTTCCCGCGAAAACGAGTCATCGCCAAAATCCCATTCGTATTCCAGACCGAGCTCTTCGGGGTCGAAACTCAGGCGTCCGTCAAAGGCGACAATTTCTCCGACGTCCACCGTGGTGGAACCGTCGATTTCAATTTTTGCAACAGGAGGAATGTTGTCGCTTCCGGTATACCGGATTCTCCAGACATTGTTGCCGTTGCCCATCTTGAAGACATACAAGGCTTGGGTATCCTTGTAGGGACCAAAGAAAATATCCACTATGCGGGCGTAGTTGGCGTGTTGGTCCTCTCTCTTTTCGGAAGTGTAAAGGGTTTCGTTTTTATATTTCGGAATGGGTGGGATACACGTCTGACATTCCACATCAGCATCTTCTACTAGATTGAAAATGGAGTGAAAAATGAAATCGGCGTATACATATTTGTATTTTGCAGGCCAGATTCCTTCCGGGACAAAGGCTCCCCCGGCGATGCAACCTCCCTCGCGATCGCTAACGTGTCCATAATAGTAGAAGGGATTCTGGAAAGAATCTCTGTTCGCCACGGCGCTAGAAGGATCGAAGAGCGGGCAGTCTTCCGTTTTATCGAACTTGCAGGGGCCCTCATATCGGGGCCAACCGTAATTCTTTCCCGCAAAGTCTGTTCCCGCCTCGGAAATCTCCTCCCATTTGGATCCGCCGACATCGTTGACGAAAAACCGGGTCTTTTCCGTTTCATGTGGATCCATAACGATGCGAAATGGGTTGCGAAAGCCATAGCTAAAAATTTCGGAGCAGACGGCATCGCTAGGAGCATCCGGGGGGAGGACGCCTCCCGTTTGTCCGCAAGGAACACCATTGTAGCCACCCTGGAAAGTAAAGGGATTGTCGGTTGGGACACTTCCGTCGTCATTCAACCGCAAAATGGCTCCGTGCAGATTGGTCATGTCTTGTGATGTTCCTGCTCCATCCCCACCTCCGTCTCCAGTGGTGACATAAATTTTTCCGTCGTTTCCAAATTTGATGGCTCCTCCGTTGTGGAAAAAATAGTGTGTGGGCGCTCCTTCCATTAGAACTTCTTCCGTTTCGTTTCGGATGCGGAGTGTTTTTGGATCCATAAGCATTCGCGACAATCGGTTGCGTGGTCCAAAAACTTCATCTTCTAGGCATTCGTCCGAGTAGGCAGTGTAAAATATGTACAGCCAATGGTTCTCGGCAAAGTTCGGATGGGGGACGATCGATTGGAAGCCCCGCTCTCCGTTTGTGCATAGCTGGTGTTCGAGATCGAGAATCTGTTCGGTTTCCATCGATTCATCGGGATTCCTCATCACGTGAACAAGGCCACGCTTCATGCTTAACAAAAGCATCGGAGGGAGTGTGTCGGGGCCTTGGAGGTTGGGAATGAAGGCCCCCGTAAAGGCACGCTGACTGGCGACCAATTCTTCAATAAAGCCTTCTTCGTGAAGGGTTCCTCGGCTTGCAACCATGCTCAGTGGCCACAACAGTGCTACCACCAGGCACAGTTGTTTCAGCATCGTAGCCGCAGGAAAAGTCCCCATTCTTCCTATTTGTTTTCGAAACGGAGCGGAACAAAACAAATTAACAGACTCGATATCGGGCTCTTTTCGAAAACCAAACCACGAAAGGAAAAGAATATAACGGAGATTGGACCCACAGAAACTAGATAACTACAACAGCGTGACAGGTACCGTATGTACCGCGGAATTGAGATCAATTTGCTTTTGGTGACTTTGGTTCGAGGTTTTCCACACGAAGAAGCAAGGGAGGTGCACGCTGTGAAAATAGTCGTGTGCAGTAAGTGTATTCGTTCTACTAGTACCGTTTGGTTCGAGGGGTCCCGTACGTGACGGAAGAGTCCACTTTTCACCGGCATGTTTTTGTCACGTTCATCGACAGTCCACCAAGTCATCAACGAAGAAACATACTTTTTTCATAGGATTCCAACGGATATTACAATCCATGTGTAACGCCGGAATGGCTTTGGAGGCAATGATCATCAGAAAATCACTATCCAATAAATAGTTCCAATTTATTAAGTATCATGTTTCAATCATGCCGGCAGAGAGGCGGCGACAATTCAAAAAACATAGTTACAAATTCTTCCAGCTAATACGTACTTCGTACTTGTACAACAGTGATCAAAATGATAGCGGTTACATTACAGTACGTAGATCCCTGAAAATTATCACTGTACTTTCCTACCATACGTCTGTGTACTGTATTGCTACAGAAAAAATAGGTGCTCTATTGTCCGTGACTCAATTCCTGACCAATCATACAAACTCGGAGCGAATACAGTACCTGGTACCTTGTAGCTAATTTTTTAGAAGTCTCGGTACGTAATCGTACTACCACAACGAACTGCGGAGACTCCTATTCTTGCAACATACTAGTACTGTAATACTGTACGGTACGATTCAGAGTACACGGGTACGTACTTGTAATCGTAGTACGAGTACCATGCATAAGAGTAGTACTAGCCCCACATCTTTTTCCCGCCGAGACGAGAAGCACGATCACCTCCGTTCACTACGGAGTTGTTACACTGGAACCATGACGATTTCAATTTTTTTTGGAAAAAACGAATTCCCGAATACCCATTCTTCAATTTTGATCACATTTTTTCAACTGAATAATTTTACATATGCCTTTGCAGCCTTTGCAGCGTTCAATGAATTATATTCATGTATGCATGAATACATAGGAATCATAGCACATGGGATTTATTTTACAGCATAGTTGCAAGTACTAGTAGTACTGTACTGCTACTAGTAGCTAGTAGTAGCACGACATGCATGGCATCATTCTTAGTAGTAGGAAGGCATCGCATACCGCCCGGTTGTATGTAAAAGACTGCTGGCTCCTTGTAGTACTAGTAAGTATAGCTAGAAGTACTACAACCATGTGTAAAAATACTACTAGTACTATTTATTGCAATTTATATTAAGATATTGAGATCAAATATAAAACAGTACTACTAGTACAAATTATTCGCAGCAAACTGCTGGTCAAAATTTGTGATCAAGATTGATCACATTTTTTTGTGATCAAAACTGATCACAATTTTCCGTACCAGCAGTGGGGGGCTAGGAATCTATTGACATGGTTCCTGGTGCACCAACTATGTGAGTAAAGGTATGGTGTTTAGATGATCTTTTGATATTAAAAGATTATTTCATGAAAGGTAAAGGGATATAAATCTGTTGGGTTCTTTTACTCTGAACCTCCAACCCAGGAGTTGAATCTGGAACATCCAAGGGGGTGCTGTCCAGTGTGGTGTTCTTATCTACTGTGTGTTTGGTCTCGCGCGGTCACCAGCCCGCTCGTGAGACCAATGCGTGTTGTATTATCACTGACAGGAATATCACTACATATGTACTAGACTTTCACATGATATTCCTACTGTCATTGTTTTGCTTTGGTTACTGACTTGTGATGAAGTACCAGTTTTCGCGTGTTAACAGTCTCAGTGATATCTGCACTAAGCCTGATAACAACAGTACTACCATTGATGTTCACCCACTCACCAATGGGATAAGGACCAGCATGCAATCTTTCTGATAGCTTGGTGGGGTCGTACATTCTTATGTTGACTTGTTGGCCTACTTGGTGGAATTTGTGATCAATTCCCTTGCATTTTCTCTGATGACATTCTGATTGATGATATGTTGGCCTTTGTTTCTGATTGCGGTTAGATCAGCAATTAGGGGACAAATTTTTATAATCATGTCTAAATTGAAAGCCATTGCTCCTTGGGAGGTGTGCAGAGTTGCACTGTGGCATGCATGACTGTGGCAAGGGCATTGTCTACCAACTGTTCTGCTTCATTAGTATTCTTTGGAGGAGTTGAGTGGATTACTGCTCTTAAAATCTTAAATATTGTTTGATGTATTCTTTCACAGATTGCGCTGGCCTGCAGGTTCTTTCTAACATTTGTGGAGATGCTCTGAACCCCATATCAGGCTAGGAGTTCAACAAGGAATTCCCAGCCTATGAATTCTCCTCCATTGTCATGTATACATCAAGCTGGTCTCAGGTATTGGGCTAGCCAGCAGTTGACAAATTGGTCAGCAACTTGACAAGCACTCTTGCTGTTGATTTGTATGATTTCCAATAAATTTGAAACCAGGTCTATGCATGTCAACACTCTAAAGATTATGTATGTGCCCTGGATATTTATTTTCCATGGACCGACGAGGTCTACACAGACTTCATTCCAGGGTAACAGTTGAGTTGTCGTGGAGGCAAGTGACCATAGCCTTGACCCTGCTGTTTGTATAAATGGCAGTTGTTGGGACATCTGTATTCCTTACACAAGGTGGCCAATACAGGTTTATGGAATCCGACATTGATGGTGTCATAAAGTCTAGTTGTGCCACAGTAACCAAGTATTATGTGGTACCATCTGAGAATACAGTTTATGAGTGATTGGGGAATAAATATTTTCTAGTTAGCTGAGGGTTTTTTGTGATAGCAGATAATGTTGTTGTTGTGGCTAACAAGCTGTTTAGAATACCTAGCTGGTGGTTCCTTGTTGAGGTGAAGATGGCATTGAATGTCTCTCTCTTGATGAGCTCCTGCTATGGTGGACAAATCTAAGGGGTTATCCATTTCAGTTATCAGAGGCAGCAGGGTCATTTGGCAACCTCAGCGCCTATGGTATTTATGAAGACATCCTCATGATCAATGAGAGCAGTTAGCTGTTTGAAGTCTACAATTGTTCCTTTATTCTGTTCATACATCTTTCTTTCTTTATCCCCAATAGTGGGCTTTGCCATGCAAGGGACATGTGAAAAACAGTTTGAAAGTTAGATCAAAGTCCTATCATAGCAAGGCGCCACTGGAGGACACGTGGCATCGACAGCATCTGGAAGGTCAAGTTTTAATGATCAGTGTAAATGTTGAGCTTGCCACTGTAGAGCATGTTCCAATACTCACAGAGGCAGAGGATGATTGCAAGGAGTTCATTTTCCATGGTGTTGTAATTCTTTTTAGTGTTGTCAAGTTTCTTGGACCAATAAGCAATGAGCTGACCCTTTTGTAGGATCATGGCAGTGCCCAGCTGGTAGCCTGAGGCATCCATATAAATGTCAAAAGGTATGTTGAGGTCTTGATAGACATTTATAGCATCCTCATGCACTAGAAGTGATTTCATTTTCTTAAATGCCTGGTCACAGGCCTGTGACCATATGGAAGGATCTGAGCCTGTAAGAGCTGTAAGTGGGGCAAGGACATGAGACTGATATGGCCATATGGATTTATAGAAGAAGTTAACTGCACCTAGGAAGGAGCGGGCTTGTGATTGGTTAAGTGGGGGTCCCATAAAAGAAAGGATCCCTTCTACCTATTTCTTCCAAAGTTGGACGCCTCCTGTAGGGGTCATCCAATATCCTAGAAAGTCTGAGGACTCCACAGCCTATTCACGCTTGAGGGGATTGCACTTCATGCCCTTGGTTGTGAGGTGTTCTAGGATGCTGTCCACTAGAGTGATGTGTTTTGTGAATGGGCCATTGGTCTAAATGCCCATATTGCCAATGTAAACCTCAACATCTAAGCCTCTTAGAATTTTGGTAATGAAGGCTTGTGCATAGTCAGGGGCTGACTTGAGTCCCATGGGGAGTCAAAGGCATTTGAAAGAATTGCCTACTATCTCTGTGGTGAGTGTGCATATGTTTTGACTTTCCTCATCTAGTTCAAAGCAGTAGAACATCATAGATAGATCTATCTTACTACTAGTGAAGTGTGTGTAGTCTTTGGGGCAATTCATTGTCTCTGCTGGAATGTGTGGCAATTCAAATTTGGGCCTACAGACCAATTTGGTAAGCTCTCGTAAGTCTACTAATTAATGCACTTGGCCATCCTTCTTTGGTATTATGAATGCTGGGAAGCCCCATTCAGAATTGATGGTCTCTTCAATTACACCCTCATCATAGGTGTTTGCATTCTTTTGCAAAGGTTTCCTTATGCCTATAAGGAACAGGATACAGCTTCTTCCATACTGGTTTTGCACCTGGGATCAGATCTATGTGGACTTTGGCATCCTGGTACCTGCCTAGCTTTCCGTTGAATAACACCACATGTTTAACCAATATTAGCTGGAAGTTATGTTTTTCTTCAGTAGTCATGTGGTTCTGCTGAGCTGCTACTTGAGCTGGGCTTACTTCTTGATATTTTGTGTCTAAGATTGTACTGGTGGACTGTTGAACACTAGTTGATCTCATAGCTGAATCACTAGCTGGGTCTTTACTAAGTAAGTAGGCTTCATTTGTTGGAAACTGCCATTCAGCATAGCCACCATCTAGTAACTTGTCATTGTTGGCAAGCCATAGAGCCTCAGCAACATGTTGAGGAATGTTGAAATGGATTGGGCTTCTCATTTTTATGGTTCTTTCTAACCATCTGATGGTGTTGTTAGTTAAGAAGTTATCAATGCCAGCAAKGTGAAGGAAGTCTTGACCTAATATGATGTCAAAGATACAAGGGGCATCAAAGAGATATGCTTCTACCCCCCTATGAGTCTGCTGTTGCCAAACTCAGGCAGGCATATGTCTGTGATAATTGCACTATGGGAAGTGTCAAAGCTTCCACCATTGGCTGTAGTAGTGATCTGTTTGCAGGCAGATACGGTTGGTAAGGCTCCCACTGGTGGGAGACAGTGTGAGTGGAGCAGTGAACCTGTGCTACCACAATCAAAAAGAATCCTGAGGGTGTGTCCAACACGGAGGCCCTTTATTTTGCCCGCTATGAACATGGCAACTGGTAATCTGTCTGGTGAGCACTTGTCCGCCTCAACTTTAAGGGCAAGTGTCATCACTTATCTTGAGTTTAGTAATTATTGTGCACCAACTATGTGAGTAAAGGTATGGTGTTTAGATGATCTTTTGATACTATAAGATTATTTCATGAAATGTAAAGGGATATAAATCTGTTGGGTTGGACTCTGAACAATGCTTGTTGCACCTGATCCATCCAACAAGAACGAATCATGATCAAAATGCAATCTAGTTCACTACACCACCATCTTACAAAGACAGATTCAAAAACTGGTAGTGATAATGATGACATTTGTACAGTACTTCACTTACTACTGCATCACTTTTCTTATTTTTTTCAAATTTTGTGGAGACCAAAGTACTGTTGATGGGGAATGGACTGCTACTTAGAATGATGGGGGATATTCAAATCCTGCCTAGTGGGTGACATGGAATTAAGTTGGCAAAGTATGGTTTGTTTATTATGTTTGTCAAATCTTGAATCAAAACAGATTTTGATTGCTTTTCTGAAATGGGTCAAACCAATCCCTTGCATGCAATATTAGATCTCTCCACTACATGCTCATCATTGTCATGGTCCCTGCCTTTGTTGTCTGTGCTGTTGCATCTTCTCAGGGAGATAAAGAGGCAAATAGAAGTCCCAGCTTTGGAAAAAAATGATGATCGTAAACTATGGCATCTTTTTGCACGTTGGTGCATCTCATTAAGAAAGGAAAATGAAACTGCTTAAAAAAATCCAAGCTCTGGGAAAATCTTGACACAGATCAGCTGAAGATTTGATTTGCGACATCGCCAATCTTACTAAAGACTTTGGTCTGGGGAATCCAACTAGAGTATGGATAGTACACAAAGACGGAAAAGGCCTAAAGATATCGCGAAAGTTCCTCTATTGCAGCTTCCATCTCTTTTTCGCGGCTATCTATGAATACCTTTGTGCCTTGCAACTGTTGTTGCTGTTGGCTTTCTTGTATGAGGGTGTAGTCGCGCACGTGCCCATGCCCGGGGGCCAAGATGTTCCAATCTAGGTCCAACAACAGGGGTAGAATTTTGGATTGGAGCCGTGCATCGTTTCCATACAAAGGAAAACCCGACATGTGACCCCCCTCTCGCGTTGTGTAGGAATAGGTGTCTCCCGAAAACAAAACTCCATGAGCGTTTTTAGTACTCTCGCTGCCATTAATGCTCGGTGAGGCTCGCTTAAGCAACGCGATCGATCCCGGAGAATGACCAGGTGTGTGCACCAAGACAACGTCGTGGTTGCTGCCGTCGGTCTCGTTGTCGATTGGATTTCCTTTCAAATCGAAATACTGCAAGGATCGATCGGAGGATCGAGCTGTTAGCAGAATTTCGACGTCTTCGAGGGTTTCGTCCCCAATCCAATTGTGCGTGCCCAAGTCCCCGGCGTGAAAGATTCGTTTCAGGTTTGGATATTTGTCTTTCCAGCTATTGTGATCGGCTGTATCGTCCACGTGCGTCAAAACCAAGTACGAAGGACCAATCGAACCCGTCAAAGATTCCACCGCCCGAACAGCCGACTCAGAATATCTAGGCGTATCGACCATGATCCAAGTCGGTTCTGTATTCGACAAAGACGACAGTAAATACGGAGCAGCTCCAAAAGATTTTGAATTGTGATGACCAACGAAAAACACGTCGGAGAGATTCGGCGAAATGAGTTTCGGAAAAGGAAGTGGCCGCCCATTGAATTTTGGATTTATCGCCAATTGGCTGGCGACCGATCCCGACGGTGCCGAAGAATTCTCTTCTGCACTTGCGGCGTGTTCCTCCTGCTTCTTATCGACCCGAATGGCGGCGACGGGACAAGCAGCAAGGGCGGCTCTCGATTCTTCGATTTCCTTCTCGGTCACCGGCTGCTTTGAAACGATGTGGTGGCCCTCCGTTTTGCTCTCCCTGGAAAACACTGAGGGTGCAAACATGCTGCACGCAGCACAATTTATGCACCTGTCGTTGACGTACAGCGGACCATAGGCGTTCTCGGTGAATCTGCGTGGAGCATTTGCTGTCAAAAATGATGACGAGCTAGTACAGCAGGATGTGGGTGGACATGATCTTGCGTTTCGTGTGGCTATCGATCCCTCTGGTCGGAGAATGTCTCTATTTCCAGTCGTCGTCGCCGTCAAAATTCTTTGTTGACAGGCATTATTCCGTCTCTCAACAATTGAATGAAAATTGAAAAAGAATGGAACAAATGCCTCTGCAGCAAAATGATAATAAATGGGTGAAGGACGGTGCGTCCATTCTGAAATTTGTGCGGATCGATCCGGCGCAAAGTCCGACCAGTCAATGCCGTCATGTAGGCACAAAATCAAACACCCTGTCACCAAGAACAGGAATCCATTCATTCTTCCGTTAAGTATCAAACTCCTCATCATAATGTCTGGTGTATTTTGAAAGAACCAGGAATAAAACAGTTTCCTATGTTGATGTGCAACACAGTCCTGGTTCTCGTTCTTGTTTTTTTTGTTCTTGTCTTCGGGGTTGCAGAACATGGACCGGACTTTTAACCTATTTCCTCGCTTTACAAATGGCATTAGCAGAGGTTTTGCAGAGCCATTGTGCTTCTTGATATTATGCTTGATGAGGCGCAAAAGAAAAGTCTTCAGAATTCCTGCTCCAGCTGAAAGGCTTTGTAGATACTATCATCAGTCATGGAGGAGGATGCAAGTGCTGGCAAGTCAATGGATACCCCCCTCCTTTCCCCCCTTTTTAGTGGAAGCAAGAACAGAGGCGCCAAGCACAATAAGGCAAGTTGGTGGGTCCCCTAAGACAGAGATGCAAGCACCAGCATAGATCTCCTGTTTATAGAGGTAATGGAGATGCAAGTGCCATGACTTCCCCCCTGTTTGTGGAGTTGCCAGGTGCTGCATTGCAGTACTAGTAGTAGCACCTTCCCTATGAGTCACTTGAGGTGCAAAGAAGAAGAAGAGGCTGGTCTTAGTCAGCTGAATGGAAAAAGAGCAAGGAAGAGCAAAGAAACAATGATTGAACAGGGGGAAAAGAGGTACATCAAAATTAAGAGTGAAATTAGCATGTGAAAATAACAAGTACTAGTACCTTGCTCGTCTACACACATTTTCTTCTCAATTTTTTCATCTCAGCGCTCTCTCCAGCTCAAAATTATTCATCCCACATGAAAACTGCATGTCCCCAAGCAGTTTTTTGCTCCCTCTAGTGACACACTTTAACTGCACATGAACCTTCTCAGTAGATAAAGGAAGAATATCATGATATCAAAGCTCTCAGTCTTGGCTTTCTAATAGCTTTCCATACCAAAAATGGCTCTCTTTGAAAAGCTATAGAATACAATAATGACATAAACTTAACGCACTTTATCACAAGTGTATTAGTACTAGTATAATAGATTAGGGCAATGCAAAAAGAAACAGTTGAATTGCCTTGATATTGAGCTTATTGTTTCAACCACCATGAAGATACACTTGGTATACCTATTTGGGACTTGAGGAAGTAGTAACTACTAGATCAGTTTTTCATTGGGATATTCAGCATCTAACAAGTTGCCGTAACAAGAAACTTCTTCTAAATGTACTTACTAGTTTTTACTACCTCTAAACTTTCATAGAAAATGGGAACACTAAAAATCCATTTTCTACTGAATCCTCTTGAAAAATTGATAGCAGATACTATTGAAAAATTATGATAATAGTAGTATTTTTGATTAAGCCATGACCACTTAGTATCGTATAGGCTGGGCCACGTTTTTCCGGCCGAAATTATCGTACATTTTTGAATACGGATATACGTACATGTATATCGATCAATATTCAACGTACGCCGTACTCCCCCACGCCATTAGAAAGCTCGTTGAATTCTCTTTTCAACCATGTGTTGGGCAAAAAGTTACAGCTGTTCGAGTGAGTTGAACCTCTCTTATTGCCCTACTTGTTTTTTGTACTGTGCGGGGATTTTTGGCCATCTTTTTACCGTGCAATGACTCGTGGGATTAAAAATTTCACTTGTACTACTAGGCCTACAGTGTGCACGTGCGAGCAGAATTATTTTGGTCGCATGAATGTGGGATTCAAAAATTCAGCACGTGCCCCACTGTACCTGCAGTACAAGTTAAATTTTAAATTTATAATCCCACAAGTCGTTACACGGTAATTAGATAGCCAAAAATCCCCGATATTATCGTACATCTGATGGCCAATGCTATATGATAAGTTGGATAGTTTTACAAACAATGTTATGCAGTAAAAAATTGAAATTGAAAAAATTCCAGGGGGGAATTTTTCTTATTGGTGCTACAAAGGCTTGGAAGAAATTGGAGCTACTACTACTACTACTACTAGTAATCAAGCAACAAGGCACCATTGATTCAGGGATTGGTTGGAAGATTGAAATAGGTATGGATAACAAGAAGTCTGCAGTCCTCCCTGAAGCTTCAGAGCCCCACTGGCCCCCTATGAGGGGTGCTCAACAATCCTTCCCTTCATGTGCAGTTCATTCTTAATGAAAACTCCTTGCACGAGATTACGTGTACTCTTAGTAGGTGTTAAGTGTGTATGAAAATTGAA